CTCTCTCTCTCTCTCTCTCTCTCTTCTCTCTCTCTCTCTCTCTCTCTCTCTCTCTCTCTCTCTCTCTCTCTCTCTCTCTCTCTCTCCTCTCTCCTCTCTCTCTCTCTCTCTCTCTCTCTCTCTCTCTCCTCTCCCTCTCTCTCGCTTCTCTCTCTCTCTCTCTCTCTCTCTCTTGCTCTCTCTCTCTCTCTCTCTCTCTCTCTCTCTCTCTCTCGTCACGGGCTCGTGAGATCAGCCAGGGTGGCTCCCCCTTGGGGCTCCCAAATGATGCCCCTGGCAGCGTTTTGCGACCATGAGGCTCTCAAGAGATACATGTTGGGGGCGCCAAACGGCAATTCTAGCTGAGGCGTCCCACCAAAATCGGCGCGAACGGGCTCGTGAGATCAGCCAGGGTGGCTCCCCCTTGGGGCTCCCAAATGATGCCCCTGGCAGCGTTTTGCGACCATGAGGCTCTCAAGAGATACATGTTGGGGGCGCCAAACGGCAATTCTAGCTGAGACGTCCCACCAAAATCGGCGCGAACGGGCTCGTGAGATCAGCCAGGGTGGCTCCCCCTTGGGGCTCCCAAATGATGCCCCTGGCAGCGTTTTGTGACCATGAGGCTCTCAAGAGATACATGTTGGGGAGGCCAAACGGCAATTCTAGCTGAGACGTCCCACCAAAATCGGCGCGAACGGGCTCGTGAGATCAGCCAGGGTGGCTCCCCCTTGGGGCTCCCAAATGATGCCCCTGGCAGCGTTTTGTGACCATGAGGCTCTCAAGAGATACATGTTGGGGGCGCCAAACGGCAATTCTAGCTGAGACGTCCCACCAAAATCGGCGCGAACGGGCTCGTGAGATCAGCCAGGGTGGCTCCCCCTTGGGGCTCCCAAATGATGCCCCTGGCAGCGTTTTGTGATCATGAGAGAGTGCGAGTGTGAGCTTAACTTATCTTATCTTATCTTGAAATCTCTTCTTATCATATCTTGTGCTATCTTATCTTATCTTGTAGTATCTTATCTTGTCTTGTCTTATCTGGTGATTATCATTGGGAGGAGGGAGGCGCGAGCGGGAGGAAGGAGGAAGGAGGAAGGAGGAGCAGTGGGAGGCGTCAGAGTAATAACAAGAACCCCAATCCTTAGGATATGGGGAACAAGAACCCCAATCCTTAGGATATGGGGAACAAGAACCCAAATCCTTAGGATATGGGGAAATATGGGAAGTGGGCGGGAAGACAGAAACCCAGAAAATATGGGAAAATATGGGGAATATTTTTATATGTGTGTATTTATGTGTGTGTCCTGGGGCCCCTTCATTTTCACTCTGTACATACCCCCCTGCGGTCTGCCCGCGAGGAACCCGTCGTCGGCCCTGCTGGCGCGCATCCGGGACGCCAAGATGGGAGGAGGCCAACCGTTCTCTTCTGCGCGGGATGGGGCATTTGGTTCGCTGGGTGTCGCTCGGGCGCTGTGCGGGAAGCGCCTTCTATAGGGGGAAAACAAACCTCCTTCGCTTTTGACCACCCTCGCTTCCAAGAGATACCAAACGATGCCAAATTGCAGCCTGTACTGGTCAGGCCGCTTGACGAGGAGGCGCGTGGTATGACTTGGTTTTGCCTGGAAGCGAAAGCGGGGGAGGTAATTCACGCTCTAATTCTAAGAGAACGGCAGTTACGACAACGTCGTCTGTAGCTCCGCTTCGACTGACGATCGCCGCTTTCTCGTTCCGTGGGGGTCACAACATCGACGTGCAGACTGGAGGGGCAGGTCCCGTGCGCGCGTGCGGGCACTGGCTTTGCAATCATTGGCCATATCCTAGTGCGCCGACGCGGCGGCCCCTCCAGGAAGCGCCTTGTGGAAGGGCAGGTTTGGCCTCGGGGGGGGAGCAGGGTGATTCCTCGCGTTTCTGCGCCAGCAAGCCTAGTCAAGTACGTTTGTCGTGGCGGTGCCTCTTGATGGTCGAACCCTCTGAGGGGGGGGTCCATGTTGCGTTGCAGGCTGTCGCTCGCAGCACTTGGTGTAGCGCCTGCTTGAGTCTGCTCACCTGCCAGCGAATCACTCTCTGTAGCGTCCTTTCGGCCACCGCCCAGAAGGCCCTTACATGTGACACCTCTCATCTCCACTTCTGCAGGGGGGCTCATTTGGGCTGTCCTGGTACTGGATTGGGCTCCTGTGGAGCAGTCTTGGAGGTCCCCTTGGAGCTCTCGTCGGTCGTTTTGGCGCCCTCTCGGGGCCCTCTTTGGTTGTTTTGGGGCCATCTGGATTTTCTGGTGAGTCTGTTGGGGCCGCCGTGGGTCCATATTAGGCCGTCTTGGGACGTCTAAGGGCGTTCTCGGGGCTCTCGACAGCGAACACACATCGGAACCACAGTGTAACATCAATGCGGTTGGCGCCTCGAGGCCTTCTTGGAGAGCGTCCTGGGGGGTGTCTTGGCGTCTCTTGGAGCTTGCGATCTGTGTGGCGCTCCTGAAGGGCTGCTGAGTGCCCCGTGAGGCAAAGTTGGCTACCGACCTTGGGTGACCTTCTCGGGCCGTCCTGGAGGCCTCGGAGAGCCCAGGAAGGCCCAGGAGAGCCCCAAGGAAGCGGCAGGCCGCCCGGGGAGGTCTCGGGAGAGGGGAGATGTCGGAGGCTCAGCCTGACCGCGCAGCGATGTGGCCTCGGGAGAGAGGGGGGGAAGATGCACTCGAGGAATATGTCAAGAGGGAACTTCCGGACACCCCACCACACGGTCTTTGTGATGATTCCCTCGCTTCAACGCGCGTGGCAGACTGTACTGTTCTCACTCGTTGCTCTCTTGGGCGTAGCTATGCGTGGCCAGCCGTGGGAGACAGTTCGCTGACGACTACTCAGACCACGGAGGCCCTACCGAAGCGAGGGGCACCCGCTGACCCTGAGGAAGATGAGGAGGGCGAGCAGAAAGGCCAGAGGTTTTGTTGGATGCCTCTCGGAGTCTCCTCGGATGCCTCCTGAGAGCTTCTTGGATGGAGACCTCTCGGGGCGTCCTGGGAGCCTCTTGGCGGTCCAGGGGGCCTCTTGGAGCGTCTTGGGTGCCTCGAGGGAGCCCCTTGAGGTCTCTTGAGGGTCTCTTGGGGAGGCGGCGTCGAGGCCATCGTGGTGCGATATTTGAGCCTCTTGGGCCTTGGGCCTTGAAGGGCACCATTCAGACCGAAAAGCGGAGAATGCTAAAACACGAGGACGACATGAGCGACGCAAGAAAGCGAGGTCGTCTTCACCGGCGTTGGCGCGTAAGTTGCCCGCGTACGATCGCGCGAAAGCGTTCTCGCTCCAACAATGTGACGTGCCACGCTGCCAGCCCGCGAAAGCCGCGGCGCGAGGTCGCTTTGCCATCGTGTGTAAGACCCGTGTCTGTTCGTCTAGAGTCTAGGCCTCCCAGATGAGGTCCGAGTAGATGGGGTCGGAGGATCGCGCCGCATCGCCAATGTATCGTCGCTCACATGTGCTTGGTTTCAACGATTTGGGACACGCGGGCTGACTGCAGGGGGGTTCAGGACGGCCGAGGAAACCCCCTAGGCAGCTTGATGACGAGGCCCCCGCGGACCAGCTCAAGTTGAGGTGGTCCGCGGGGCCTCGAGATCCTCAAGGCATGTTGGAGGCTTGGGTTCCGAGCCACGTGCCACAGGTAGCATTACCGAGTTACTATGGGAGGTAACGTCGGGCAAGCAAGTGTTCAAGCATGAGATCCAGACGTTTGTTCCGTTCTGAGATAGCTCAAGTGCACATGTAGCCCACACGATGCTCTGACAGCCTCGAAAGGGGCAGTGGGCATCGCAACTCAATACCTTGCTGTGTTGCTTTGAGAGTTGTGCTCCGAGCTACGTTGGAGCTGGCGGGGGGTCAGAGATGGCCCAGCACTCCGGCGAGCAGGAAGGGGGGGGCAAGGTTCGAGGTTATGCGGGTAGTCCCCAAACGTGGTGGTGACATCACCGGGCAGTGAGTCTCGGGCGATTTGGTGTCACCACCAGGTTTGGGGAATCGTCTTGTTGTTCGAGGATGTCCCGAACGCTTCTGGATCCAGGAGTCACAAAACCCGGCGGTGACCCCGTGTTCCAAAACCCAGCGGTGACTTTGGGGGGATTCCAGGTCACCAGCTGATATCTCATCACCTGCGTGTGGGCTCCCAGTTATGGGTTCCGAAAGGGTTGTTGCCCTTTTCGTCTCTCGGGGGCTTGTTTCGGGCTCCAGGGGTGTGAAAAGTTGACTTGGGGTGAAAAACTTCACCAGATAGACCCCGGGGAGGGGTCCCAGGACCGATGTTGAGCACATTTTGGATTTGGCCTAATCCCCCCTCCTGCCGGAGTCTCTGGGGCCCAACCAGTTCAGACATGCCCAGCCGCCTCCAAGAGCCACGCACCCGGAGCCTTCGAAAAGTCACGAAGAACGCGCTGGAAGCCTCAGGAGAGACCTGTGTGCGTGAACTTGGGGTCTGCCGGGCTTTCACGGATCATCCGCCGTTTCAGGATATTGTGAATTCTTGGGGGGGTTTGAAGATTGAGAACATTCCACTCGGTGCATGGCGCGCTTGCGGACTCTGAGCTCCATCGACAGCATCGGCCTTATATTGTTCTTCGGCCTCGTCGTCGTTCCCGACCTCCTCCTTTGGTTTTGCAAATCGCTGCAAGCTGGAGGGTCCCCAAGGCGGACTTACCTGGCGGAGCTGCCGCATTTCATTGGGATACCCTTGACGGGGCTTTGAGGTTCCACTCGGATTCCATTCTAGTGGGGTTCCCATTTTTTATTAGGCTTCCCTCGGTTACGCCCCGCATTATTTCAGACTCCTTTGTAGCGGAGTCCTCAAATTCTTTTCGGAATCCGTTCACGGAGGCCCAAAGTGGTTCAGAATTATTCGAGCGGGGGCACAGAAGTTTGTAGAATTTCAACTTCCGTCAGGATTCCCTCAGCTGGGGGTAGAGGGGGGCCTATTTTTTTAGCGGGCCACGCCAATGGAATCCAGAGGGAATCTGGGGCCCCGTTCAGGTAACCGTTCTCGGGGTCCGCCAAGGGAATCCTGAGGGAGTCTGGGGGCCCCGCTGAGGGATCCATTGGCGACTTGGAGGGCCACGACGGCGGCGATGGCGACGCCCACGACGGCGACCAGCCCCACCACACACCACAACGACCACGACGACCGCGCCGCCGCCGCCGCCCCCCCCCCTCAATGCCGCCGTGGTCGTCGCCGCAGCCGCCGCTGCCGCCGCTGCCGCCGCTGCCGCCGCCGCCACGGCCGCCGCCGCGGCCGCCGCTGCCGCGGCCGCCGGCGCCGCGGCCGCCGCCGCCGCCGGCGCCGCCGCCGCCGCCGCCGCCGCCCGCGTCGCCCTCCGCCCGCGCGCCGCGGCCGCCGCCGCGCCTCGCGCGCCGCAGGCGGGGGCTCGTCCCTGGCGCCCCTGGGCGACAGCGGCAGCGGGAGCCTGGGCGCGCCGCCTTCGTCGATGGCGGCCTTCGGCGGGCCTCCGCGCCGCCCCCCCGCCGCCGGCGCCGCGGCCGCCGCCGTCGCGCACGGCCTCTCTGCGGCGCGGCCGTGGTCGGCGTCGTGGATGGTCGTCGTGGCCGCCGCCGTCGTGGGCGTCGTGGGCGCCGGCGTCCGAGCGGGGGGGGCAGTCAATCGGCGGCGAGCCGGGGGAGGGGAAGCGACAAGGCAAGGGCCTTCTCAGAAGGCTCGGAAGCCCCCCAGCATTCTGAGAAGTATTCTGGACATTCACCTAGGCCACAGAGAGCCTGTCAGAAGGCGCGAGGGCCTCTGAGAAGTCCCACAGCCTTCTGAGAAGGCCTTCTCCTTCTCACTTCCCCCCCTCGCTCGCCGCCGAGTCAAGCCTGCCCGTCGGTCGTTGAAAGTCGTCGTGGCCTCCGCCGTCGCGGGCGTCGTCGTGGGCGTCGCCGCCCGAGCGAGAGGGGCAGTCAAGCTTGCCCGTCGGTCGTTGAAAGTACAGGTATCTCTGGGCTCCCAGAGCCCAAACTACTGTGGGCGTCTTCCCACTTGGAGGGTCGAGTGGTGCTCCCTCTTCCCTCCTCTTCAGGGGGCGGGCGGAAGCCCCAGCTACTTCCAGCGCCTTCCTATTTCATGTGTCTACCCACTTCTTCCGACGGACGGGTAATCCTTACACGCATGCCGATGTTCGTTTGCGTGGCAAGCTCAGCTTAGCTTTCGCCCTCCAGGGGCTCCCCAGCCCAGATGGCACTGCACAGAAGCAGCGGGTGATGGTCGCTCGCATGCTCTGTTTTCTGAAAGGCAGGCCGCCGTCGCCGTCGTTCGTGGTCGTCTTTGTGGTCGTCAGTGTGGTCGTCTTCGCCGCCGTCGTTGGCGTCTTCTTCGGCTTCGGCGTCGGCGGCGTCGTCGTCGTCGGACGTTCTTGGGAGGTTTTGGGTGCTTCTGGTCCTCTTTGGGCCTCCGGGGGGGCCCTGAAGGCCTCCAGATGCTTCCCGGAGCCTCATCCTCCTCCCCTCTTCTCCTCGCTCTTGTGCTCCCGCGTCCGCTCCACTCTCCATCCGCCTCATCCCTGGGCGCTTCCCTCCTCCTTCCCCCCGACCACTCCTGGCTCCTCCCTGGGCCATCCCCCTCACATGGTAGTCACCGGGTGGCGGTTCGGGATCGTTCCTGAGCATCTCTCTCACCATTGGTCACCTCTTTCTGCATGCCCCCTCCTCTTCAATCGCATCGTCCCTCTATACTCTCTTGGGCGTGTCGGGATTAACTATTCCCATCCTCTTCCCTCTCATTCTCCTCCGTGGCCCCATTCCTCTCCTGGGCGTTTCGAGATTGCTCCTCCTCCCTCTCCTGATCGTCTCTTCCATCCTCTGAGTGTCAGAATGTTGCTTGACTGCACCGCAGAAGAGGATGGGGGAATGGGAGGGGAAGGGGATAAGAGACACTGGGGGAAGGAAATGAGGGAGGACAGGGTGGGAAAAGGTCAGGGAGAGGAGAGCGGGAGGCAGGGGGGGCGACAGGGGGGAATCGTATTTGCTTGCTCCTTGTTCTTCCCATCCTGTTCTGCTGGATGTGCATTGCAGCGCGTTGTCGTCATAGGCAGTGCCAGTGCGCCCTTCCTGATCGCCGTGGGACGCTGGAGGTTGCTGGAGGGAGCTCGAGCGCGCCCCCAGACTGCGGGCGTCGTGGGGCAACGTCGGGCCCCTCCCGGTGAGCCACCTGGGAGATCCCCTTCGTACCAGCACGGAGGAGACAGACCATCGCCTCTCGTGGGCGGTTCAGTCAGATCGCATAACTAGCCTTCCCAAGGGTACCCTTGCATCCTTGCCTCCTCGGTCCATCCTTGGCCGCTTTCGTTGGCCGCGCCCCGCTCTAAAAGCTTCGGAATGGGCGTCCAAGGCCCTTGCATCCTTCTCGCGCATCCTTATGATACGGGCCGACTGTACTGCCACTCTGGCCTCCCCTCAGGCTCCACGTTTCCGTAGACGGGCCAACAGTGTTGCATGCAATGGCGTGGTAGGTGTCGGCAGTGTATACAGTGGAGACCCGTGCCAAGAAACACCCTGCTTGTCTCCAGGGCGCCCTGGGTTTCTTGGGTTTCGATGGCTTTGCCAGGGAAAGCGTGACGTTCCCACACCTAGAATCAATGGACGTCCTGGGATTTCAGGGTTGGGTTTCTTGTGGAAGGTTTCCTGTTGTCGAGCCCCTGCTGCAGGTGGGGCTGGCCCGTGGCCACGCCGTCTGAAGGAGAGCGTGGCTCGTGATTTCCAACACTTCGCTGTGCCGCTCCCGTTCGGTACATACACCTTGGGCGATGCTTAAGAAAACCTAAGTTTTCGGCCAGAGTCTCGATTCTTCTTAACGTTTCAATGTAAATCCTAAGATTTCAATAGAATTTTTGGTTTTTTACTCAAGTTCTGAGATTATGAATTTCTTAACCCATGATTTCTTAAGCATTTCGCAAGGTGTACATACTGGCACCTCTGGCATGTAGGAACGCGTGGCCCGTGCATTCCTATATTTGCTTCTGCGCGAGCTCGGCGTTGCAAAACCAGATCCCCTGCCACGCCATTAACCCACAATGCCGTCAGCCCAGCCTTGAACGTTGCGATCCCCAGCTCCCTGTGTCGGACGGGGCCAGGACGAGGGTGAATACGTTCCAGAGCGTTCCGGAATGCTGTCAGAGCGTTCGGGAATGCTCTGAGAAGGCCGCGGCGCCCGAGACATCCTCAACAGTTGCCGGATCTTAGAGATTCTCGGCCTACTTTCAGCAGAATGTATCCTCGTCCTGGCTTCGTCTTACAGTCCACCCGCATGGTAAGGACGGGCAACTTTCCCAGGGGCATCCCGGCATCCTCGCCCCTGCGGCCCATCCTTTCGTGGCTTTCGCTGGTCAGCATCGTTCGACAAACATTTAGCATGGCCCTCCAAGGCCCTGGCATCCTCACCGCGCATCCTCCAAGGGCATCCTGGCATCCTAGCCCCTTCGGCCCATACGTCGCGGCTCTCGCTGGCCAACCTCGTTCGAGAAACCTTTGCAGGGCCACTTCCCACTTGGCCACTTTCGTTGGCCGCACCCCGCTCGGAAAGCTCCGAAATGGCACTCCAACGCCAGTGCATCTCCATCGCGCATCCTTCCTATGCGGGCCGACTGTTCTGGGCCCCGAGCGGTCCTGTGCCGCCCACAGCAGCGCCGATCCGCTCGCGGCGGACGCTATCCGCCCTCTCCGCTCGACCTCGGGCGCCCTCGGGCCACAGAAGGCTCGTCGAGTAGGGCGGCCCCCGCGGTGCAGCGGGCTGCCCTTCGGGAGGGGGCCGAAAGGTTTCGGAAGTCTGCGCACGAGCCAGAGAAGGATAAGGTACCCATACCTCGACCTTCCCCCGTTTTCCCCTTCGGGGGCCTCCTGGGAGGCCCTCGTCGCCACCGCTGGATTCGCCTCGAAATTCTGGTCAGAACGCACCCCGAGCGAGGTCCCGGCAGTAGCGGCATCGGTACCTTTTAGATTCCCCAGTGGTGATGTCTTTCTCTTCGACTCGAGCAAGTTTACTTTGCATGGCATTTCCCCCACCCACATCCGTCTAGGCCTTCCACATGGGGTCGGCGTAGATAGGGTGGGAGGATCGCGGCGCATCGCCGATGCATCGCCGATGCGGCTCGATGTGGAGCCCGTGCTTCCCCACGCCGACGTCACCGACGCATCGCCGACGTCGCCGCTGCATCGCCGATGCACGCTGATACATCGGCGATGCCTTGGCGATGCGGCGCGATCCTTCGACCCCGTCTGCTCGGACCCCATCTGGGAGGCCTCTGCTTCGGCGCCGCTTCAGGCAGTGCGGGGCCGACGAGGCCCCGGGTGGTGTTCCAGCATGCAGCCGGGCCCCGTCGTGGGCGGCGTTGCGTTCCGCGGGGGGGGCGGCCTTGTCCCCAGCGGCCGCCGGGGAGCTCGAGGTAGGGCCCAGGTACTAGGGCGCGGAGGCTCAGGGGCAACGTTGAGGGGGGGATGGACTCACGTCGGGCGCATCCCTCGACAGGAGGAACCTTCAAAGACAGTCAACAAATCGTCTGGGGACGATGTTTTGACTATGTTGGCCATGTTTGCATATGTTTGGCGTATGTGTTGTTCTTCGTCCAACATCTGGGGCAACGTTGAGGGGGGATAGGCTCAACGGGGGGGAGGCAGCGGCCCCCAAGCGCCCACTCATCGCCGACATGGGGGCCCGACAGCCCACCCCGCCCACGGCCCTGCGGACTCGCCCTCGGGGACCTATCGCCAAGCTCGAGGTTTCCCCCCCTGATCGGCCACGCGCAGAGGGGGGGTGGGGGGGGGGGAGGGGGAAAGGCTTCTTCGAAGCACCCCTGCTTCTCAGAAGGCGCGGTCCTTCTCTGTACATGTGGGGCCAGCAACTTCTAAGAGGCAGCCCCCCTCGAAGACGGCTTCCCCCCTCCCCCCACCCCCCTTGTTCGCGCCGCCAACCTGAGCCGATCCCCGTGGCCCGTGACGGGCGTTGCGCTCTTCCAGCACATGTTCTGCCAGGGTCGCCCTGTGTCAGTCGCCGACCACCCGCGCGCGCGCGCCAGGCGGAACGCCGCCTGCGGGAGCCTACGGTCGTCTGCCCAGCTGCCGTGCATCTGATGTTGGGAGCCCATGTCAAGCCGCGCTTGTTTGCACGTCTGTGACAGACACCACATTGTGTATACTTGGTGGCGGCGGTGATGATGCTGATGATGATGATGGTGATGGTGATGGTGATGGTGATGGTGATGATCAGTATCATGCTGCTGATGATGATGATGATGATGATGATGATGATGATCCTGATGACGACGACGATGATGATGGTGATGCAGATGTTGGCATCGAACTATTGGTGGGAATGCCGAGCTTGTTGCTGCTGCAAGCGCCAGGGATGCCAGCCTAGGTTGTTGCTGTGCTGTCTCGAAGTGTGCGGGTTGCACAGTGGATGCCCTGGGCATGCCTGGCACACCAGCCTTGGGGTACAGTCAAGACGTTGAAAAAAAATGAACACCTGTGTGCGCAGGGAAGGGCTCTGATATTCAGGCCGTTTCTTCGGTCCAGGTCGGGAAATGTATCCGCGGTCGCGGCTGGCCGTGGCCAGAAAATCCCCATTCGTTCATGAACTCAGTAGCCTTCGATGGCGACGACTGCACGTCGCAATCAATGGCTACGGAGTTCAGGAACGCTGCAGCGGCCTCTCCCATCTGGCGGTCCAACGCTAGATTCTACCACGGCGCATCCGGAAGCTTTTGCTTTAAGCGTCAGCGTCATCCTCATCGAGCGGCAGTTGACCGACAGCCGTTGGGACGAGAGAGGGGAAGTAGAGGGCGGAGACGTTACAGCACTGAACAGCGAGGGTGTATAACAAGGAGTTGGGTGCAAATTCGGCAAATTCGGCAAATTCGGCAGCACGTGCATGTATTCGGCAGCACGTGCATGTATGGGCAAATTCGGCAGCACGTGCATGTATTCCAGCCGACAGCACCGACGACTCGTACTCGCGGGTGCACAGTCCATATGTACGTGTCAATAAGTAGGGACCGACATGTTACATATGGAAGCATGATATTCCCCAGTAAGCGCAAGCAGCTGTGAGCCCAGTGTGGCGAGAAGGAGCGTGCTCGCTGGGCCAACACGGGGCCCAAACATATTGCAGCGTGCCTTCGGGCACACACCCCTCTGGGTTTCTGTTGGCATCCTCTGCCTCGTCTGAACCCCTTTTCTTCCGATAACCGTTCGCAAGCGGGCCAACTCAATCGTCTACCATATCACGCTTTTGTAGCTACGTGACGCGTGATTGTCCGGATACGCTTGTTTGGAGCAACAGTCAAAAGTAAAGACATGTGTGCCATGAATTTTACATCCATGCGCGCGCGTTTATTCGCATTCGCATGCTCCTGCAGTACATGGCTCAGCCTGCTGATATGCGACACGCTAGCGACGTGGGCGTATGCATCGGACCCGCTTGCAATACATCCAATAGTTAGCGTGCATGGGTGGTGACGCACACGGGGTCTACGCGCATATATCCGAACAGGTTCCTTGTGATGTGTATGTGCCTCTCTCCCTCTCTTTCTTGCCCACGCGACCCCGTTCAAATGGTTGCACCAAGCATTGGGTCGAACGCATACGGATATAGAACCGTTCATGTAGTATTTCACGCACGGGCTCGATCCATCGCACGGCATAAACTTCGCAGGAAGGTAAGCGGATGTGGGCCGCTCTTCTCTGCACAGCATCGTTGTGATATTACTTATGCCGTGCTAGCGTGTGGCCATCTCATGTTGTAGACAAATATGGGATCGAATGTCCCATGTGTTTCGCCCGATGGGTGTTTTCCTGTTGCTGCACTATTCCTGCGAGCGGTGGTTTGCAGAATGGCGACATACAGACCAATTGCCAGTTTTGCGAGCACAAGTCCGACTTGGATCTCTGCAGACTCGAGCCCACCTCGCCTCGAGATCGCCACGAGGGTCCGCTGCAGCCCCCGTGGTGGTCCGGACGCCTCTCATTGGAGGCTTGGGCTGTCGCGCCAGATGCCTGTGCGCAGGTGCTTACCCCGGCTTTCCTGGATACGGCGCAGCCGCCCCCCACCCTGCGAGCAGTTCCAGGGGAACGAAGGGAGGCGCAGGAGCAGGAGCAGGCGGAGGCGGAGGCGGAGGGGGAGAGGGAGGAGGAGGAGGAGGAGGAAGAGAAGGAGGAGGAGGAGGAGGAGGAGGAGGAGGAGGAGCGCGAGTGGGCAGAAAGCGCCAGCAGGACGCCGCCACAGTGGAACGCAGGGGAGAGACTCGCACATCCCGAGGGGAGCAGGGGGAGCGTGTGAGATACCGGGCGGGGACCCGGGAGGGATGGATAAGAGGGGGGGGAGGTTCAGTCAGGCAGGGAGTTGCCCTGGCGGCTTCTCCAGCCCACCTGCAACAATGGTCATAGCAGGGCGGGCCCAAGACCCTGGATGGGCGTGCCCCAGAAGCGTCTGTGGCCCAGCATCCCTCTTGTCGCGGCGTGCACCCAGGGTTGTCCGGCGTGCGGCGCGCACCTGCGTGAGTCGTGCACGCCGGGGGACGGCAAATCGCGAAGCACACCGCGCGTGGACGAAAACAACGGATTTGGGGGCACCGCGTGGGGCACGCTTTGGGCACCATGCGGGACACCGTTAACTGTCTTGGACTGGCCCTACGGTGACAATGGGCCGTCGCAACGGGCCCAATCTCTGCAAGTGGTGGCATCACGGAGAGCGCGTCTTCGTGTTGAAGTTGCACAGCTCATTGGGCATAGTTGATTGAGGCGGTACCGTAGAAAATGGCATGGGCAAGGCTCATACGGAACGACAGCGATGGCCAAGATACGGATCTCAGACGGAAGGATGTCGGAACAGATGGGAGAAGGAGGGAAGAGGGGCGGGGATGCGGAAGAGGGTAGGAGGATGGCAGTGGGTACGGAATCAAGGAGAAGGGAATGAATGGGGGCAGAGAGAGGCAGGCAGACGAAGGGCAGCGGTCGGAGAACAGGGGGCGCGGTCGGTTGCGCAGTTGGCAGCACCCAGGCAGGGCGAAGTCTCATTTCATTACGGTCCGCGTCGGGCATTATTCCGCTGGATCTCGAGGGGCTCAGGAAAGCGGTGGCAGTGGCGCAGCTAGCCCCCAGGAAGGACGTTCCAGGGGCACGCCATAGCACTGACAGTTGAGTGGACACCATTCCGCTAGACCCCCCAGTGGCCCACGAAAGTGGCGACAGTTTCTCAGTTGGCAGCAGATAAGGGGGGCCGAAGCTTCATCTTGATTGACCGAAGACACGAACGTGGCGACTGTCGCGCAGTTGGCAGCACCCAGGGAGGTCGAGGTCGCATTCTGATCTGGGTGAGGCGCCTCGTCGATGGACCTCGACTGAGCACACGCAAGAGGTAACAGCTGGGCAGTTTACAGCACCGAACGAAACTAAGTGCCAGTCTGATCTGCGAAAGACACCGCTCCGCGTGAGCTCCCAGAAAACCCAAGAAAGAACGACAGGTGCATAGGCAACAGCACCCATGGAAGGCGAGGCATCACTCTAATCTGCGTAAGACACCACGCGACTGAACCTCCCAGGGGCCCGCGAAAGTGGCGACAGTTTCGCAGCTGGCAGCGCACAGACAGGGCGAGGTTTCGCTCTGACCTGCGTAAGGCACCGCTCCGCTCTCGACCTCCCCAGGGCCCGGGAAGGTGGCGGCAGCTCCGCAAGTTCTGGCTTGCATAGGGCACCACTCCGCTAGACCCCCCAGGGGCTCACGACAGTGGTGGCACTTGGCAGTCCCCAGGGAGCGCGGTATGAGGTTTTCAAATAGCAGGTTTGAGGGGGGGGGGAACATCAGGTGGGAGGAAGGAGGAGGCAGAAGCAATGATCTATTCCAGACGAGAACGCAGCGCGGGAGCGTTGGGAAAAAGTGATGAGGGCCGTGAGGAGAAGGAACGGGCATCACAGAAAGGAGGATAAAATAAAGGACGGAGATCACCCACAGTAAGAAAAGCTGCAGACGGCGTGCAACGCATGAGGAAAAGCATGAAGAGGCATGCCGATGGGCAGGCGGCCCGTTTGCAAGAATTTGGGTTTGATTGGCTACGCCAGACCGTATTTCCAAGCTCATTATTCGCCAATTGTTTTGCTCATCGGTGAGAAGCCAAACCAATTCATTTAAATATTCTTCGTTTTTCTTGGAGCCGGCCAGGGATCTGAGGTGGCCCGGTATTGGCTACGGCTAGAGAGATGATAGAAAGTGTCATTCTCGTCGTCTCGTCCTCATTGTTCGACGCAGCTCCAGGAATTTTATCTAGTCGCTTCGAGTAACCCCACCAGCCCCATCCAGAAACGATGCCCAGGCAAGTTGCCCTGATCAGGGATGTGGGGGATCATGCATTGGAGTACAGGGCTGGGAAAGCCGTCATACCCCAAGAGGGGGAGGATGGAGGACAAAAAGGAGGAGGAGAAGGAGGAGGAGGAGGAGCAGAAAAAGAAGGCGGAGGAGTAGGGGGAGGGGGAGGTAAACAAGCTAAGTGCGCTCGCGTCATATCTGAGGTCCTACCCATCCCTCCCATTCCTTACCATGGCGTAGATATCCTCTCTATTTGCACAGTCGGATGTCGAGCAGGGCAATGATCGCGAGAGGGTACGCAATGCATTGTAGAGCATGGCATGTAATGGCGTAGAAGAGCACGGCAGAGCGTAGCATGCCATAGCATGGCGTGGCAGTGCGCAGTGAAGGATTTCATCACAAAGCATTGCAACGCAAAGCATGGCATCGCACAGCGGCGCAGAACTCAGCACTGCACATCATGTCATGGCATGGCGCTGGGTTCATTGAAGGGTAAGGGGATCGTCTTCGAGAGGTCTGGGCTGGTCTGGAGTCGTGGTTTCATCTCTAGCTCCATGCGCTTCCCGAAAAGCTCAACACAAGGCGGGGCTGATGGAGAGCACCCGCTGGCTCTGCTTCCAACATCGCCTTCTCAAAGCATAAACGGGGCTCCCCCCTTTCATTCACTCCTGAAATCAACGACGCCCCAAAGTGGGGGCGGCTTCTGCGACCCAAAAAACCAGAACTGATACCGAATGTGTAAACGCTTCCGATAGTTTTTTCGGGGGGGGGGGGGGGGCATTTTCTAGATTTGAGGGCCGATTTGGAAGGAATGCCAGCGCTGCAGCGGGAGCATGATTCGGAACGAGCGGAAGCGAGGAAATGAGGCCAACGCTGCAGCGGGACCACGATTCGGAACGAGCGGAAGCTCGAAAATGAGGCTAGCGCTTCAGCGGGAGCAGCATTTTGGGAAAAAACTGCGAAACCCGATTTCCCTGGAATCTTGTATATAAAAAACAATACGCGGAGGAGGGCCGGATATCTCCCGGACGTCATCAGGGGAGAGAGGATAGTAGTAGTCAGATTGTGTGATTGTGGAGGTATGAGGGAGAGAGGAAGGAGGAGGAGGAGGAGGAATAGGCGGATGAGGAAGAGAAGGAGGAGACGGGCGAGCAGAGAGACCAGAGGCCTCTTGGATGCGTCTCGGAGTCTCTTCGGATGTCTCCTGAGAGTTGTTTGGAGTCTTCTTGGGGCGTCTTGGAGACCTCTTGGCGGTCCTGGGGGCCTCTTGGTTCATCTTGAGTGCCCCAGGGGAACATCTTCGGGCTTTTTTGGAGTCTCGTGGGAGCCTCTGGGGGACATCTTGAGGGTTTCCTGGGGCCTCCTGAGCGCCTCTTGGGGCCCTCTTGGGGCACGCTTCAGAGACTTCGGGCCATGTTGGAGGACATCGGTCAGGTCAAAGAAAGGGGGGGGCCCTAATTTGGGCTCCCCCATAGAGCTCCTGAAATCGCCTCCTGCACCCGGCGAGAAGACACAGACCATTGATCTGATCTTGGTGGTGGGAAGATTCTGGACTCTTGTTGGCTTCCTAGGGAGGTTCCGTGGCCACGTGGAGCCGCCTTCGGGCGGTCTTGGGGCCTCTTGGAGCATGCTGGAAGTCATCTTGAGCCACATAGAGCCATCCTGGAAGTCATCTTCGGCTCTTTGAGGCTCTCTTGGACCCATCGTGGGTCACCTTGGACGCTCCAATCGGGCGCGGGCCCTCCCCTCCAGACCACAAGGGAGGGGGTTAGGGGGGAGGGGCCGAGCTGCCCACAAGCAACACGCCGTCTCGCTCGGTCCCACCCGCCCTCCCAGCACAGAAGCAGCACCCGAGTCTCAGCATGGAGGGAGGCCGTCATCGACAACCATCGAGAACCAATGCAGACGCCAGCCAGCTGCGCGAAGCCCGCGCGGTGCGCCGCACATGCCAGCTGCGCCACGCGCACCAGGTGCGCCACATTGGGTAACATGTCGACCTTCCCACAGTCCCTGCCAACAACCATTGCAAAGTGACAGCGGGTATGTTGTGTACGGATATATACCCACGACAGGTTTGCATTTGTTTGAAGGGCCTGCGCACAGCAGGCAGTAAGCCGCCCCACCGCGCTGTCCTTGGCAACATGAGCTGGTCGTTATTTCCGGTCCAAACGGGCTCTGGGCCTGCACACATCAGGCAGTATGTTGACATCCCCGCACTCCTTGACAAAACTATGCAGGCATGCTCCAGAGTTGGAGGCAAAGTGTACGTTGCATTGTTCCAAACCCACTTGTGCTGGGCTCTCGTTTTGAATAGAGCACTGTGGTCTTCCGTCCTTCCCGCATCCCCCCTCCTCCTCTTCTCATCTCCTTCCCTCCTCCTCCACCTTCTCTGGTTCCTTCGCCGCCTCCTCCTCATCCTCCTCCTACTCCTCCTGCTCCTCCTCCTCCCCCTCTTCCTCCTCCTCCTCCTCCTCCTCCTCCTCCTCCTCCTCCTCCTCCTCCTCGTCCTCCTCCTCCTCCTCCTCCTCCTCCTGCTCCTCCTCCTCCACCTCCTCCTCCTCCTCCTCCTCCTCCTCCTCCTCCTCCTCCTCCTCCCCTCCCCCTCCTCCGCCTCCTCCCCCGCCCCCTCCTCCTGCTCCTCCTCCTTCTCCTCCTCCTGCTCCGCCTCCTCCCCCTCCTCCTACTCCCCCACCTCCTCCTCCTCATCCTCCTCCTCCTCCTCGTCGCGGCTCCATGCGGGGCTGCGAAGTGCGCAAGTGTCGTCACTTTCGTAGGCGTCTGGGAGGTCCAGCGAATTGAGGCGTCACGATGATCCCGTCGAGGCTTCGCGGCTCCCTGGGGGGCTGCGAAGTGCGCATCTGTCGCCATTGTCGTTGGTTCTTGGGAGGTCCGGAGTCGGGTATCACGCGGATCCCGTCGAGACTTCGCGGCTCCTTCAGGGGCTGAGAATTGCGCATCTGTCGCCGTTTGTTCGTTGGCTGTCGGGAGGCCCAGCGGATTGGGGTGTGTCGTGGATCCCGTCGAGACTTCGCGGCTCCCCGCCGGGTTACGAATTGCGCATCTGTCGCCATGTTGGTGGGGTCCTGGAGTGTGGGGGTCACGCAGACCCAGCCGAAACCTCGCGGCTCCCCGGGGGGGCTGCGAACTGTCGCCAATTTCGCGGGCTCTTGGGAGGTGCAGCGAAGTGGGGTGTCACGCAGATCCCGCCGAGACTTCGCGGCTCCCTGGAGGGCTGCGACGTGCACATCGGTCGCCACTTCGTGGGCTCCTGGGAGGTCCAGCGTAGTGGGGTATCACGCGGGTCCCGTCGAGACCTCGCAGTTCCCTCGGGGGCTGCGAACTACTGCGCATTTGTCGCCACATCCGTAGGCTCCTGGGACTTCCAACGGAGTGGGGTGTTACGCGGACCCCCGTCCAGACCTTGCGGCTTCCTGGTGGGTTGCGAACTGCGCATCTGTCCTCACTGCCGCGGGTCCCTGGGAGGCCCAGCGGAGGGGTATCACGCAGACCCAGCCGAGATTTAGCGGCTCCTTGGGGGGCTGCGAAGTGCGGGTATGTCATCATGGTCGTTAGTATTGGGCGGTCTTTACTATAGCCGCCACGTGTTTAGAAAGGGTTAGGTACGTCTCAGGAGAAGGTCTTTGCAGGGATGATGAGGCGTGGGGCGCATGGGTGCCCGCATGGGTCCGAGTTGGGTGCAGGTCGGGTGGGGGGGGTATTCCAATAATGAGGAAGGCCGTTAAGCCCTCCCCGAAGGGGAAGAGGGACGATGGAAGAGGAAACCCGTTAAACCGTCTCCACCCAGAGAGCTGGTGGGACTTTGTCAGTTTCGACACTGGGAAGGGGGTCCGAGGAGCGATTTTGAAAGGATTTGCCCTCGTCCCCCTCCCCTGGCCGAGTTCCTCGGGGCCCGTGCAGCGCAGATTCCCTGGCCGCTTCCAAGGTTGTTCGACGTTTTGGCTCTTCTTGGCGGGTCCTCCCGGAGGGCCTCTCGCAGACGGCCCGTTGCGCATCGGGCGCCCCTTTGAGCCGCTGTGGCCAGGCCTCCGCGACAGGGACCGTGCAGGCTGGCCGCCAAAGATGCGGGGAGAGCTGATTCACGCAGGAAATCTTCCTCCTCCTCCTCATCCTTCTCCTCCTCCTCTTCCTCCTCCTCCTCCTCCTCCTCCTGCTCCTCCTCCTCCTCCTCCTCTCTTATCTCCCATCTCTTATCACTCCTCCCTCCTCTCTCATCTCGCCTCCTCCTCCTCCTCGTCCTCCTCCTCCTCCTCATCCTTCTCCTCCGATTCCTTCGCACCAGCTTTCCGTGCCCGCGTTTGGGAGAGGCTTTCTCTCGGAAGGCGCGCACGCGCGTTCCGATTCGCATTTGTCTCGACCCCGGTGTGGCGACGGCCGGTTTCGATGTTGATGTTGCCAACATATGTTCAAGCAGACATACAGATCTGACATAGTAAGGCATCGATTTTGGGCACGCATGTTTTGTTGTCCCAGCTCACCTAGGCCTTCCCCATCAGTTCTTGCATGTTGTGCGTTCCTGTCGATGCTGCGGCCGCACACTGGAGGCATGTACGGCGCCACTCCGCAGGGAACCCCAGCTGGCTACCCAGCAGGACAGCATTCCAGTGCCGCAGTGCATGAGCGTCTCGAGGGCAAGACTTCCATCATCGCTTCTCAGTATGTCTCTCTCTCTCTCTCTCCCCCTTGCAGTACGGTCAAGTGGACCCGCTTCCTCCAAAAGGGCCACGAGAGATATTGCAGGCGCGAGTAAACAAACTTCCGGAGCTCCGCGCAGAGGTGTGCGCCCGGGACCCTCCTCGTCGGCGCCCCTCTGTCGGGGGTGGACAGAACCCCCAACAGTGACACGTCGATTAGTGAATTGTCCGTTTTCGGTTCTCGAGAGGGCGCCGTGGCCGTTATTTTCCAGGCCTGCGCCCGCCAGGTTTGGGCCTCAGGGCGTTTTCACTAGACCACGTTTTACTAAAGGGGGGTCTGTCCATCCCCGACTCTGGCGCCTTCCGCGCGCCTGGGGAGAGGGGGGGGCTCTGCGCCGCGCGGACCCCGGAACGAGAGGAAGCCGCGCGCGCCGGCCCACGGAGCGCAAGGGCGGACTTCCGAAGAGCTTGCTCCCGAGCCGGTGCCTGCACTCAGGGGGGTCCCGCTCCCCGGACCCCCTCGGGCAACGACAGAAGTCGCGACGGGAGGGGGTTTTGCTGTTTTCGGACCTGGAGAGGTCCTTTCGCGGGTGGTTGGAGGGGTCTTTTTTCGACTCCTGGGAGGGCTAAAAAACGACACCCCTCACGAGGATTCTGGCCCCGACGGGGGGACTGACAAAAATGCTCGCCCCATCTGTGATCGATCGCCCCAAAGATCCCTGGGGGTAATGGGGGGGTCATAAATGGGAGGGTGGCGAGGGTGGTCCGAAAAGGTACCCAAACGGTGCCTAAACGAGCCCCCTGGGGCTCCGGAGGGGCCCGAAAGGGGCACGAAAGGGGACCGTTTCTGACCCCCCCATTTGTGACCCCCCCATGAAGCCACGCCCAAGACAGAAGTCACGACGGGAGGGGGTTTTTCGCTGTCTTCGGCCCCTGGGGGTGTCTTTTTGCCCGGCCTCGGGGCCCTCAAACAAAAAGACTCGGGACGAGAAGCCGATCCAGGGGAGCGGGTCGAGACCTTCAACGGGGTCGACGCAATGAGAAATTCATGACGTCGGGGGTCTGGGTCCGTTACTCTTACTTGGTTGAGTCAAGGGCGCCCTCGAGGGCGCGAAGTTATTCGCGCTTCGCGGTTCGGCTCCGATTCCTCCTCATCCTCCTCTTCTCCCTTGGGAGGCGGCGCGAGAGCGCGAAGTTATTCGCACTTCGCGCTTCGCGCAGCGCGAAGCGCGAAGTTGGGAGCCCTTGCTTACTTGGTTGAGTCGGTCCGCCGAGGTGTCGCACGGCCGCCCTCTCGAGCCCTGCCAGCAGGTTGCGGGCGGGCGGGTGCGTATGCTCAATTGCTCGAGCAGTCGGGTTGGCGATCTCAGATCCGCTGCAATCAGCGCGAGTCATGGTAGTGGCAACGGCAGCCTCGACGGTGCGAAAACATTGTGCACTTCTCGCAACAGTTGTACTGCGGGCAGCAGAGGCACAGGGAGTACATGTGGTGTTGGTTGCGTTCGTGTTCTCGAACGCAATGGCACAGACGCGTGGGATGCCAGGCGCGAGATACAGTCGGACGCGGCCTTTTGCCCTCCCCCCACCTCCTGGGAAGGCCTCTTAGAAGCAGCCTCCCTCTTAGAAGCCTTCCCGCCTCCCCCTGACTCCGCATTGCGCGCCGCCAAAGGGGGGCGCAGAGCGAAGAACGAAGATCCGACGAAAGCATCCGTACACCACCGCCGTGCCAGGCTGGGGCCATCCTGGGCCCCTGGATGGTGTACAGACCCTTTTGGCCTCGGCCAGGATGGCGTACACACCATTCCAGGGCCGGGACGGCCTTGGCCTGGCAGGGTGGTGGTGTACAGATGCCTCCTGCGCGGAGCAGGAAGGCGCAGCAGCAGGCGGGGCGGGATGGGAGCGTTCTGTGGTGCAGCGGGTGCCGGGCAAGACGAGATGATGGGTGTGTCCACCGCGCGGCGCTCCGTGCCGCACACGGCCAGGGTTGGGCGTCGCGCAATGGGGGGGGACGATGCATCGGGGGGGCAGCTCGAGAGGGAGAAGAAGCAAGGGCGCCCTCGAGGGCGCGAAGTTATTCGCGCTTCGCGCTTCGCGGTTCGGCTCCGATTCCTCCTCATCCTCCTCTTCTCCTTTGGGAGGCGGCGCGAGAGCGCGAAGTTATTCGCACTTCGCGCTTCGCGCAGCGCGAAGCGCGAAGTTGGGAGCCCTTGAAGAAGTATCAATGGCACGCTGCCGTTGGTAGCCCATCGGCGCGTTGCTCTTTCGTCTTCGTCGGAGTGCCCGGCGTTTTTCTCCAGCAGTGGCACGCCGATGGGCTCTCCCCACGGCGGCGCGTCAGTGATGCTGCGTGTGCTCCCCGAGCAGCGAGGGGAGGAGGAGGAGGAGGAGGAGGAGGAGGAGGAGGAGGAGGAGGAGGAGGAGGAGGAGGTGCAGAGAGGGGGCCCTCCAGGGCCCCTGCAGGGGCCCTCCAGGGCCCAAAAGGAAGCTTGCAGGGCCCGAGAAGCGCACCCTTTCTGTCGGCGGCGGGCGCGGGGGGGAAATAAGAAGGGGCGGGACTTCCGAGGCTTCAGAGAAGTTTCTGGACTTCTGAGAGGGCTTCTGAGAAGTTCTGTCTGTATTCGAAATAGCCAAAGGAAACGTCTCAGAAGCCCCCCGGACTTCTAAGAAGTCCCGCGGCCTTCTGAGAAGGCCTTCTCCTTCTCATTTCCCCCCTGGGCTCGTCGCCTATTCTGCCCCCTGTGCCTCGCCCCCCCTTCAAGCGACGCCCACAGGGGGAAGAGGGGAGGGGAGGCGCAGTTCCTTTTCCCCCACCAAAAACATGTGCTTCTCATAGAACATAGCGACCTCTGCCCTGGGCCTCGGTCCGCCGGGAAGTCGCCATGGACCCAGGCTCTCCCACTTCCTCCCGGCCTGATCTTCGCCCACCTCCCCAGGAGCCGACCCCCCCCCCAGAGCGGAACTGAAGCGGAAATCGGAAGAGGATCGGGACGACCAGAGTGGGCACGGAAAGAATGTGCACAAAGACCGACAGCAGTTCCTGTTCAAGCTCTTGTCCCTATTGAACAGGACTCGTTGGCGGTGTCGCCGCGCACGTTGCGCATTTGAGGCAGAAGGCCGCCTGCCCAACAGCGGCCGCTGTCGATGCTGGACAACAGTTCTTGATAATCATCGTGCCTGTTTGTCTCTGTATCCATTCCGAGCGCTCACAGGGGAGGAGGAGGCGGCAGGCAATCAAGGGTGGAAAACCCACCCCGACCCCGACAATTCGCGTTTATTCAACAGCCCTGGGCGTTTACTAAACAGCCCTGCCCTGTTCGATTCCTTCCATGGGTACGTTTACTAAACGGCTTCGCTTGTCGGGATGCTTATTATGGGGGTGGATGTTCTGCTTTCTAGACAAAGACGGAGGAGCACACGGGGCCAGCGGGGTCGGAGGACAGGACAGCCGAGCAGAGGCATCACAGCCGAGGACCAGGGGCGGCTCGTTCTGGACCCTGCGGCTCCTTCGCCGCGGTCGTAGGCAGCGGGGGCAGCCCGCCTCGGTCGTCCTCCTCCTCCTCCTGCCGCGTCTCCCCCCCCAGGCCCTCGCCGCCGCTCCCCGACCATGCCCTCGGCCTGTCGGCTTGCTCTGCTGCCTGGTGTCCTTGTGCTCCCGCTTCCTCCGTTGTTTCGCCGCCGGCTCTCCTTGGCGAGCACAGCGTCGAGAGGGGGCCGGAGTCGGGGGCGGAAAAGAGGGGGGTGATGACTAGGGGGGGTGGATATCATGGCGGGGGCCATGAGATCTCCCCAGATCTCATGGCGCCTCTTCTTATTTCATTACGTCCCTGGCCCCCCCGCTGGGCAGCGCACATGCCGCCGGTCATGATTTGTACCCCCCCCCCTTCTTGGACACCCCCCTCTTGGCCGCTCCCGACGGAGGGGCCGCGGGGTCCTGCCGCGGCCACCCTTCTCTCTACAAGCAGATCCATTCGCGGAGAGCGGACCAGCCTGTCGTGCCGAGCGAGGCGGAAGCCCGAGCTCTCGCTTCCATTGTGAGGTTCCAGTTGCTGCGGTGAGCGCAAACTTGTTCGCAGGCCGCGTGCGAGGAGGCCGCGGGGTCTGTTTAGCCGTGGTCGGTGACGACGTTTCTTCTTGCGCTCGTCGCCTGGTCCTCCTCCTCCTCGCTGCGTCCGCGCTCCCAGGGGACGCGACCCTTGCCAATGGCTCGGCGCCCGCGCTCCCAGGGCCACGATCCATGGGAACTGACGATGCTTGGGCACTCCCAGGGCCACGATGCCGCCCCCACCTGGGAAGGAACTGACTTGTTCGGTGTGCTAAGATATCACAGGGGAGCTATTTCGGTGGTAGCATCTCCTCCAAAATTAATGAGGGGGTTCGGTGCTATCGATAACACCAGGGGGATCGATAATTGCTTCCTGAGGCTCGTGGCCGTTGAATGATCTTCCTCATCCTGCTCCTGTCGCAGTCGCACGAATCTGCACGGTGTTGTAGATTCCTCCACTGCGACGGGTGTTTTTGCGCACAAGCGCTTCGAGAAGCTTTCGCCCCTGCGTGCAAGTCTCACGCGCTTCGATTGGGGGATGGGGGTCAAAATTGCGTTGCTTTTCTCCGCAGGTGGAGGAAGGGGCCCCAGACAGGAACAGGATCTAACCGTCCGCGACCGGCAAGCAAAAGCCTTAGGGAATGTGCCAGGATACTTCAGGACCCCTCTCTGAGACGATGAAGACACGTGAGCGCGTTATCCAAAGACGTTCGGGACGCATGTCTGACGGAGGTTGAGGGTTTCACGTACCCGAGTAGCGCGAGCCTTGTGTGACGCGGGTTCGTGTTGCTTCCTATTATTATGTTTCATTTGAGGGCGCTAAGGCTGCGAGGTGTTGGGTGTGCGGCGACGCCGCTCCTGATTCCTCTGGACGGGACACTTCACTCCTGGTTCCTGATTTCTGCGGGCCCACTGACCAAGGACACAAACGATGCGCGACCGAAAGACTGGACCTGGGGAAGGGGGTCGGGATGTTCGAGGACCCCGCGCTGAGGCCAAACTCGGGGGAGCGTAAGACCCGGGTTTACCGGGACTCGGGTTCGCCATCGTTTTTTGACGACCGCGACTCGGATTTTGACGAGGAGGAGTTTCGTGGGATGTTCGCAGCGGGAGGCCTCGTCAAAATGCAGGCTCGGCCTCGTCATTTTTTTGACGACCTCGTCGGGGATTTCCGAGTCCCCCGTACCCGGGTCTTACGTCTCCCCGACAAACAAGAGCAAACCAAGCACGTGGGAGGTCCGGCGAGAGGCACGGGCTCTCCCGTGGAGAGCCCACCGTCGTGCGGCAGGCTCGCGTCGAGCCGGCGGCGGCGGCGATCCCTCCACGGGTCCAGGGTCGGCCACCAGGGAGCGGCATGGCGATCAGCAAGGGTTCCCTCGAGGGCGCGAAGTTATTCGCGCTTCGCGGTCCTCGTTCCTTCTCCCCCTCCTCCTCGTCCTCCTATTCTCCCTTTGGGAGGGCGGCGCGAGAGCGCGAAGTTATTCGCGCTTCGCGCAGCGCGAAGCGCGAAGTTGGGAGCCCTAGATCAGAAAATTGCCCGTCGTTCGAGGTTGAACGATCCACGCGGTGTCCCCAGACCCCCTCGCGTTTTGGACAGAAGGGAAACATACAAAAAAACGACGGGAGGCTCTTGTTCGCTACGTTTTGCCCCTAGGGGACCCTCCTGGGCCTCGGGCCCGTCAAGCAACGACTCGGCATGGGAAACCAGTCCCGGGGAAGGGGTCCAGACATCCTGGGGTCGATGTTGTGAGAAAAATCACAACATCGGAGGTCAGGGTCAGAAACCAACGCCGGGGTAAATAGTCACGACACGAGCCCGCAGTATCCAGCCAGGTCGAACACGGATCGCGACCGAGGGGCGCGGTGGGGTGGGGTGGGGGGCACGCAGGGGACGCCCCTCGCGCAGGAGCCTACGGCATGTACGCAGGCGCGCGGCCCTGGTGCGTCGCTCGCGCCGCCCCGATTCTGCAGACAATGCAGGGCAGGAGACCCCCCCGCGTCGAGAAAAAAACACGACGGGAGGTATTCGGCCATTGCCAGCCTGCGGGGGGACTTCGTCGGGCCCCGGGACAGCCAAAGAACGCTTCAGGATGAAACGCCAGTCTTGTGGAATGGGTCCAGACCGCTGGCGGTCCACGCCATGACATACCACGACGTCGGGGGTCTGGGGACAGAGAGTGGCACAGCACAGTGGTGAGGATCCTGGTTGTGCACAGACAACAGTCTCCCCGGATAGTCCCGGCGTACTTCCACAAGCCTCCGTGTAGCCCAGACCGGTCTCAGCACTTTGGCGCCGTCTCCAGCGGCGCCCCTGGAGTGTTTCCCGCGTAGTGAGACCGCCTTGGACTATTCGGGTGCTTGTTGAGGCCAGCCCAGAGCTGTCTGTGCGCAGCCAGCTTACCAAGCAGGTGGAGGAGGAAGACGGACCGCTTCCTTGGTACCAGCGTGTCGTCCAGAGTAGTTTTTTTTGTTATAAACAAAAATAGATTGGGCCCAGGGCTTTGCGAGGCCGAAAACAGCAAGAACTTCCCGTTGCGTTTTTGTTCACGACGCGAGGGGGTCTGAGGAGTCGAGGAAGAACAAACACAAGCTGCTAGAGTTCCGCGCAGATGTCTCGGACCGGCCGCCGGGCCCCCCTGGCGGCGCCTCCAGCGCCGCCCTTGGCGCGCTCCGCACGCCAGCGAGGGGGGTCCAGCGGCAATCCCAGACATCGCTCGGAGCTCCGAAAGTTTGTCTTTCTGGATCTTGGTGGCTCTTCTTCGACTAGACGTAAGAGTGACCTTTCGCCGGAGTGACCTTTGGTGCTGGCACAGATGGGTCCCCAGACGGCTGAAAACGAAGCAGGAGCAACGGCTTGCGCGCCCAGGCTTGGTCCCCACGCGGCCCCCAAAAAGACGCGCACCGGTCACTCTTACCCAGGGTCACTCTTGCGTGTAGCCGACTTCTGGGGTGGCAGTGAGGCCCCCCCCCTCTCGAGGCTACGGCGCGTACGGCTACCCGGGCATGCAGGGCTACGCCCCCCCCAGCCAGGACGGCACCTCGCCGCCAGGACGGCTCGCCCCCCCTTCGGCGGCTCTCGGGGGCGACGACTCTCCAGGCCTTCCCAATTCAGGAGGGAAAGAAACACACAGACACAATGAATCGTCGACTCCCAGGAAAATATGGGAAAATATGGGAATTAGGGGGGGAGACAACAAGAACTGAAAATATTGGAAAATATGGGGAATCATTTTACGTGCGTGTATTTATTTGTGTGTCCTTGGGCCCCTTGACCAGTGGGATCTGGGCGGGCGGGGTCGGAGGATCGCGCCGCATCCGCGGTTCGAACAAGGAAGAGCGATATTATCCAGTGGCGTTGTTGCGGGGGGCGGGGGGGGGTTCTTGGAGGCGGCTGGGGGGAGGGGCCACGGACCCCTTCCCCCAGGCTTTTGCCTTTTGGGGCAGTGTTCTGTCGGGGGTGGACAGAACCCCCAACAGTGACACGTCGATTAGTGAATTGTCCGTTTTCGGTTCTCGGGAGGGCGCCGTGGCCGTTATTTTCCAGGCATGCGCCCGCCAGGTTTGGGCCTCAGGTCGTTTTCACTAAACCACGTTTTACTAAAGGGGGGTCTGTCCATCCCCGATTCTGCTTGCGCGGCCAAAAACCGCAGGGACGTGGTCACAAAATCAGCACATCCTGGGCTCGATGCGTCGGGGGGCCCGAATCTATGAATTCGCGAAACAACACGAAGCGAAAGGGCCACCGCACGCCACCCGCTGCAAGCGCGGTGGCGGACCAGAAGACATCGTCGAAGCTCGCTCGAATTTCTTGGATCTGCGTTTGGGCTCCCCTGTCGTCGCCTTTGGCCCCGCCCCTGGCGCGCTCCGCGCGCCAGGGAGAGGGTTGCCAGCGCCGATCCAGGAAATCCGCGCGGACCTCCGAAAATTGATGCTATCCCGTTTTTCCTTCGTCTAGCATCGGCGATTTTGCTCGACGTGGAGCCCGATCGTCTCCACGCCAACGTCACCGATGCGTCGGCGACTTCGCCGATGCATCACCGATGCATCGGCGATGCATCGGTCATGCGGCGCGATCCTCCGACCCCATCGACTCGCACCCCCCATTTGGGAGGCCTCTAACGACGGCGATTGGACGGGAGGAGGCGGCGCTCAGTAGTTCGGCATTTCCGTCGACTCGCACGCCCTATCGGAGACGCCACCTGTCCCGCGCAGCTCAGGGCCGTCAGTCTCCAGGTGGAACGGCCTGTGAGCTGTTTGAGTTGATGAGGGTGCATTAGGTGCGACCTCGTTGATGAAGCTGGATTAGGAGGAGTAGGACAATATTCATATATATATATATATAGAGAGAGAGAGAGAGAGAAAGAGAGAGCGATAACAAAAACGATGCTACGTTATAGGAGTACCGGAGCCAGATGCACGTGTGGCCGCGCGTTCTTCCGTGGCTCGGCCCTTCCGAGTCCTGGTGCGAGCATGCAGCGCGTGTCTGTTTCCGGCATTTTGGCAGGCACCCAATAGGGTCTCACGCGGTCGGGTCCCACGCGTCGGGCTCCCACACGATGGTGTCCAAGGTCTTCCTCGTCATCCTCATCATCCTCATCATCGTTGTCATCGTCTTCCTTATCATTATAATAATCACCATCATCATCATCATCATCACCATCATCATCATCATCATCATCATCACCATCACCATCACCATCATCATCATCAGCATCATCAGCATCATCATCGTTATCATCGTCATCATCGTCATCATCACCACCATCATCATCGCCACCACCATCACCACCACCACCATCATCATCATCATCATCATTATCGTCATCATCGTCATCATCACCACCATCATCATCGCCGCCACACTCATCATCATCATCATCGTCATCATCATCATCATCATCGTCATCATCATCAGCTTCATCATCAGCATCAAACCACCATTATCATCATCAGCGCAGCATCAGCGTCAGCAGCATCAGTGTCATTATCCTCATCATCATCACCACCATCATCAGCATGCCTTTCCATCCCCTCCTTCCCCTCCTCGTCCTCCTCCTCATCATCCTTTTCTCCTCCTCCTCCTCCTCCTCCTCACCCTACTCCTACCTCTCCTCCTCCTCCTCCTCCTCCTCCTCCTCCTCCTCCTCCTCCTCCTCCTCCTCCTCCTCCTCCTCCCCCCTCCTCCTCCCCCCTCCTCATCATCCTCCCCCTCCTCCTTCTCATCCGTCTCTTCCTTCTCCTCGCTCTCCTCATCCTCCTTGTCTTCCTCTCTTGCTACGCCAGGATACCCCGGTTATCCCGGCATGCAGGGCATGCAGGGCATGCAGGGCATGCAGGGCATGCCGGGCATGCCGGGCATGCCCAGCTACCCAGCAGTGACGGCGCGCCCGACGCGCAAGGGGGGGGGGGGGCCGGGCGGAGGTGGTGGAGGACAAGGAGGGGAAGCGGGGGCGGATATCAGCGTGTTCTGGGAGGGGGGAGCTTTACGGGGCTGCTTAGGGGTGAGGAGGAGTGGGAAGGGGAGGGAGGGGGAGGAGAACTGGAAGGAGGGGCGAGGGAGGGACGAGGAATGGGGATGAGGAGAGCCGCCCGGTTGGCTGAAACCGCTCCACCCCCCCGCGCCGCCTCCCACCCGCTCGCCGTGCTCGGGGGGGCCTTGAGCTCGGCACTGAGCAGTTGCAGCTAGCTGCTGGCTGCTGGTACGTCGTTGTGCCTCCCTGTCTCTCTCACTCGTTCGACTGATCGCGGCTGCTGCGTCCCCACCGGCACTCAGGGGGGCACATTCAGGCCACACAGCAAGGATGAGCAATCTCCCAAGGCTGCCCTTGCACCCTTGCCCCTTCCCGCCCCACCCTGGCCCGCCAACCCCGTGCGCAGACGCCAACGTGGCCCTCCGAGGCCCTTGCATCCTTGTGGCGCGCATCCTCACCATGCGACTCGACGGTACCCCTCGATCTCCTGGGCCCGCTGCCCCGGGCCACGCGCCGTACACGCGCGCGCGCGGGCTCGACCCCCGCCAAAGCCTCCTGCACGGCGGCCGCGCCTCCCGACTCGGCCTCTCCCCAGGGCTGGGCTCGGTCAGTTCTGCGCCGGCGCGCAATTGCAGCCCAGAGGTCCGCGGCACCGTGGCGGGTGCCCACTCCCCAGAGCCCCTCGGGCAATGGAAAAAGATCATGACGGGAGGTGTTCGGCCATTTTCGGCCTTTGGGGGCCCTGACCGGCCCTCGAGACCGTCAGAAAACGATGCAGAAGGAACAACGCTCCCGACAACCAGTCCAGGGGAATGGGTCGAGACCTCCAAGGGTCGACGTGATGAAAAAAAATATTGACGTCGGGGGTCTGGGTATAGCGGGTACTCTGGACCCTCCATCGCCCATGGATCGCCGATAGGGGGCTGGATAGCCCCTATCATGCCCACGAACGTTCGAAGTCGCCACCGGGGGCCGATCGCCATTCTGTGGACGATGTATCGCCGGTCCCTGGTCGATGCATCCCCCTTCTATGCATCCGTAGACGCGCTAGCTGTGTGTGAGCTAACGGCGAGGTAGGAGAACCACTTGTAGGAAGGCGTGGTTCGTGGCCAAGCCAAGTGTAGGAACGCGTGGTTCGTGTGTTCCTACAGCTCGCTGTGTCGCTTTCGTTCGATCGATCCGCATATTCTTGAAGTGTCGGAAGCGGTGTGCCATGATCTCCTACATTTTGCTCTGCGTGAGTTCGGTGTCACAAAAAATCAAGACTCCCAACCGCACCGTGAACCAAGCACGCCGTCAGCGCGGCCTTGGTCCGCACAGCCCCCCCCCTGTCGTTGCCACTCACACTGGGGCACTGGGGGGGGAGCGCCGCAGTGCGCGGGCGGTGGCCGTCGCGGGAGGCAGCCCAGGGAGCCACGCACCGGCACAGTTGTGACCGCCCGGGCGGCCGTGGCCGTCAGGGGCAACGACAGGGGGGGATGGGCACAGGGGGGCTGCATCGACCCCTGATCTCCCACTGATCGCCGATGGGGGCTCGATAGCCCCAACCTGCCCAGGAACGTGCGGATTCACTACGAGGGGCCTATCGCCGAGAGATCGGCGATGTATTGGCGATTCCAGGTCGACGTTTGCCCCCCTATGCCAGTCCCCCCATACCGTTGCCCCTCAGGCCGTCTCCTCCACAGACCCCCTCGGGCTGCAACAAAAAGTCACGGCGGGGGTTTTACCGCCATTGTCCCCGGTAGCCCTTGATCGGAAATTGGAACATGTACATGACCAGTGGCGGGTCGTTTTTCAATCCTGAGACTTCTCGAGGGTCGGGGACGAAGTCGGCGTGGTATGGTGTACATTTGTGTCCCCGTTTTCCCGTGGAAAACAACGAAACATGTATACACCAGGATCCCGTATACACCAGGATCCGTTTTCCCGTGCGAATTTCCATGCGGGGTCGGACAAAGCGTCGGTGTATAGAGTTCGGTGTCTTATTTGAGATCTACACGAAGGTTTTAGATTGGAAGCCGGCAGGCAAGGGTAGCCCCAGAGGTCGTTCCAGCTTCCAGCAGGAATCCCCGCTGCGAGTTGCTCGAGCTTCGGTGTGTCCCGGCAGGCCTTTCTTACTGCTTTCAATGTTTCAAGAAGTTTCTGCCCAGGAATTCCAGAGCTCCTTCCAAGGACCTTCTCGAAGCTTCTGTTACCTCGCTATCCGGGCTTGGACACCACAAGTTCGGGCGTCCGGGGGCCCTCGTCGGGCCTCGGGACCGTCGAGGCACGACTCAAGATGAGAATCCAGTCCTGGAGAATTAGGTCGAGCCCTCCCAGGGTCGACGTCACGAAACATCGACGACGTCGGGGGGTTCGTCGCATGTTTGAAGTCGGGAGTCTTCGCGTAGTCTCGGACCCCCAGGCCTTGACATGCCAAGCCGGCTCGAAACTTGCAGCAGGGAGATGGGGCCTGCGGCCCCGGTCGTGGATGTTCGCGATGTTGCAAGTAGACGGGGTCGTCGGATTTGAGGGGTCTTCCCCGCTGGCGCACGCCGCGCTTTCAAAACCCTGGGACTCGGAGAAAATAAACGGCATAATCATAGACTTACGTCGGGCGTGTCCCTCTACAGGAGGATTCAAGAACACTCAAGAATTGTCTGGGGACGACGTTTCGACTATGTTTTTGGGTTATTGCTTATTTTCTGTATTTCTCATTTGTCCTTCAAGATCCGCCTGCAGGAGGACATAGCGAGAACTGCATAATCACAGGCTGTCTGGGGTCCGTGCGGATTTCTCGGAGCAGCGCTGCCGGCGGCGCCTCAGGCCCCAGCCCTGGCGCGCCCCGCGCGCCAGTGAGGAGGGGCCAGCGGCGATCCAAGAACTCCGCGCAGACTTCCGAAAGATCATTCCCATTCCCCTTTCCATTCCCATTGGACCGTTCCCACTCCCATTCCCATTCCCATTCCCATCCGCGCGCGCCGCCTAGCCATCTCCATTCCCACTGGACCATTCCCGGCCCTGCCAGGTCCCCTGCCCAGGTGGGACTGTGGCCCACGGAACCCGCAGGAATCAGCCTATATGCCCACCCAGGGGCGGTAAGTCGGCCTGGGGGGACAGGGATTTGTTGAACCTTGCTCAGTTTTTGCCCTCTTTCCGTTTGCTACATAGGAGAGGTTCAGCGCCGGATTCCGGAGTCCCCCCGCCTGGGCCTCCCTCGGACGCCTCGTCGAGCTCTCCATTCGGAGGTGGACAGACCTCCTACCCTGACACGTCGAGTAAGGAATTGGCCGTTTTCGGTTCGCGAGAGGACATCGCGGCCGTCATTTTTGCGGGTCCAGGTCTGTCAGTTTCGGTCCTAGGTTGTTCTCACTAAAGGGAGGTTTACTACAGAGAGGTTTGTCCACTGCCGATCCGTGCCGCAGCCGTGGCTCCAAGAGGGCCTCCGTCTCTTGTCCAGGGTTAGCCCGGGAGGCTCCCCCCGCATGTGGGCCCAATCCCAACCCACTGGGCCCAATCCCAACCAACTGAGACCAATCCCAACCAATGCGAAAAGCAAACTGGGCCCAATCCCAACCATCTTGGGATAGGCCCACAATAGGATTTTAATTGTAGAGAAGCCCAAGACGAGTGCGAAGACCAAGTGACATTCCTTATGTCAACGCACAGGATCTGGAAGCCAACATGCATGCTCGAGTTGGAATTGGTCTCAGTTTTGGTTTGCACACGAGCACTACGTTAAGATGAGCAAGAGGGCACCGAAGCGTAAACATCGATTCTAAAATATGCAAATGGATCTTCCTGGTACTAGTAGTAGTAGTCGTAGTAGTCGTAGTAGTAGTAGTAGTAGTAGTAGTAGTAGTAGTAGTAGTAGTAGTAGTAGTAGTAGTAGTAGTAGTAGTAGTAGTAGTAGTAGTAGTAGTAGTAGTAGTAGTAGTAGTAGTAGTTGTAGTAGTAGTAGTAGTAGTAGTAGTAGTAGTAGTAGTAGTAGTAGTAGTAGTAGTAGTAGTAGTAGTAGTAGTAGTAGTAGTAGTAGTAGTAGTAGTAGTAGTAGTAGTAGTAGTAGTAGTAGTAGTAGTAGTAGTAGTAGTAGTAGTAGTAGTAGTAGTAGTAGTAGTAGTAGTAGTAGTAGTAGTAGTAGTAGTAGTAGTAGTAGTAGTAGTAGTAGTAGTAGTAGTAGTAGTAGTAGTAGTAGTAGTAGTAGTAGTAGTAGTAGTAGTAGTAGTAGTAGTAGTAGTAGTAGTAGTAGTAGTAGTAGTAGTAGTAGTAGTAGTAGTAGTAGTAGTAGTAGTAGTAGTAGTAGTAGTAGTAGTAGTAGTAGTAGTAGTAGTAGTAGTAGTAGTAGTAGTAGTAGTAGTAGTAGTAGTAGTAGTAGTAGTAGTAGTAGTAGTAGTAGTAGTAGTAGTAGTAGTAGTAGTAGTAGTAGCGGTCGTAGTAGCAGTAGTGGTAGTAGTAATAGTCGTAGTAGTAGTGAAAAATGAAATAAGTAGCAATTGTAGTAGCAGCAGTAGTCGTAGTAGAAGTCGTAAAAGTGGAAGTAGTGGTGGTAGTAGCAGTAAGACAAATAGTAGTAGTAGTAGTAGTAGTAGTAGTAGTAGTAGTAGTAGTAGTAGTAGTAGTAGTCGTAGTAGTTGTAGTAGTTGTAGCAGTCGTCGTAGTAGCAGTAGTAGTAGTAGTAGTAGTAGTAGTAGTAGTAGTAGTAGGTAGTAGTAGTCGTAGTAGAAGTAGTCGTAGTCGTAGTCGTAGTTGTAATAGTCTGAATCGTAATAATGGTAGTAGTGGTAGCCGTAGTGGCAGTAGTAGTAGTAGTAGCACTAGTAGTAGTAGTCGTAAACGGTGTCGTAGTCATAGTCGTAGTCGTAGTAGTAGTCGTAGTAGTAGTAGTAGTAGTAGTAGTAGTAGTAGTAGGTAGTGGTAGTAGTAGTAGTAGTAG